TAGGTGTGATGTCACCTTTTTTGGTTGTCCTAGTAACAAATTAAGCTGTTATTTAAGAAAATATGTATCGGGCTCTGCAGACAAGGTAGGTGGAAGAACTTTCACGTTTGGTTTTGAATACACTGCAGCATGGTTTGTTGCTGTCAAGACTGACTGCAGCTGCATGTGGCCAAAACAGACTCCCAGAGTGCAGATGCATAAGACTAGGCTGCAGCTGAGCAGGGGGTTGAGCTTGGCAGTTGTGGGGACCACGTGTATAAAATGGATCTAGGTGAGCAAATCGATGTTACAAGCAAGAGAACACCCAAACTATAAAAAAGCCTTGAGACTTACAGCTCCATCACTTCATTGCATGGAATAAGGCAGCAATCCTGCAGAAACAGTAGCTTGGACACTGACACTGACTAAATGTATGGTCACATGTGGGGCAGGGACAGGTGCAAGTTGCTCAGTTGAGGAGTAAATTTTCAATGCCCATTGTAAGCCCAAAGCTTGCTTTTTTCAAAGAAACAGAGTAGTTTTAGTAGGAGTATGTGGAAGGAGAGGGAGTGGAATACTACTACATTATCACATGGATATTCTAGCCTTGTGTACTCCCCCCTGTTCTTAAAAGTGCCTGTACTCAGCCAACCCCACAAACCTCGAAGCCAGAATGAGGGAAAATCAATTAGTCAGGTGTAGGTACTTCATAGTAAAACATAGTACTGACACACCCATGCTGCTGTCAGGGGTGCTGCGCAATCCATGAAAAAGAAGGAATTATTCGGTACTCATCCTGCAAGAGACTGGGCAGTAAATATACTAATTGAGTGCTAGTGTGAACTGTGGAGGGTAGGGAGGTGGGAAAGACCTCTCCCAGCGAAAGCAGAGTGTAAAACGTAGTCAGTCTCCTGCCTAGCCAGCAACTCCGAATAACCTGAGGTAGAAGAAAAGCTCCCGGAAAGTTTTGCAATTACATTCATTAACACATCGCCTACAAATATATCAAGCTGATTGCTCAAGGAAGAATATCCAGTAATTAGCAGTTATGTCTGTGGTATGAGTCTTAGGAGGCAGATAACCACTTGAAGAACTGTCTGCAGTTCAGCCTGCTGGCAGGGAACGATTCGGGAAGACCTCAGAAATAGTTGCAGAACTGGCAAACAGTTCAATAAACCACTGCAAGAGGGGAGGCTGAGGGAAGACATCCTTGAGATACAAAAGCAATTAATCTCTAGGATAATCCTGAAGGGATGCTGGTTTTCCCTCTGAACTCAGGGGGTGAACTGCAGGAACTGGGGCATGTTCACCTGTGCTGCAGCGAGGAGCAGTGGCCCTGGCATCAGGCCGCGGAAGTCAGTTGTACTAACTTACATCCTACCACAATTAAAGTGGAATCACAATGTGAGAGAAAAGAGGTTTAAGAGTATTTTCCTGCCTTTCTTTAATTCATGCTCTTTAAAGTGACACTGCGTTTTCACACTCGTAAAAATAATGTGAAGTCACAGCTGAAGTGTTTTAAAAATGTCACTCCTGTAGTGCTAACATTCTTTTTTTTCCCCATCAATCTTCTATGCTCGTTTTCGGTGTATTTTGCTGTAAGGCTACTGCAGAACTAGAGAAAAGCCCAGCCTTTCTCTGCTGATCCCAGTGCTTTGTAAGGAGCACAGTTGGTGTGTATGATAGCAGGTGGATGGCGAGCTCAAGATGAATCCATCGGTACTTAAAGAAACAAACTAGGCTGTGAAGGGCATGTCGTTAGCCAAGTAGCTACTGAAAACCTGATAGAAGTGCTGGCTTTTTGCATTACATAGAGTCTTGTTACAGTTTGGATTACTAGAGCAGGGAATGGGAATAAACAATTATTTGGGAGTGGAATTTCCTATGGTAAGACACATTTACAGAAAAGCCACAGGAGAAGCCTTGCACTAGGGTTTTACCACTGGTTAGATTATTCTACTTAGGCATGAACATGGTCCAGCTGTGCATGAAACTGAGTTGTCAAATTTCGGTCTGTGCAGGAATACTGTGTTTTGACCTCAGAAGGAGCTCAGGATTATTCTGTGGAATTTATCCTGGAGAAGAGTGTTGTAAACACATGGAGTTAAGCTGCAGGACTTTGATGTTCTGCAGGAGAGGTCTCCTAGAGTTGCCCCAAGAACCATGCCTCAGAGGGCATTATCTAATTGTTCCCAGCACTGAACTAGTGTACAGGAAAAGTGCGAGGTATATGATATTTCAGGGACCTAAACTGAGAAATCACTTACCAGTGCAGATTGTGAGCAGAGCTTTGCAGGCATCCTGTGAAAAGGAAATGGCAGGAAGAAAATGATCGATAAAACAACAGGAATAGAGATCTGCCAATGTCAAAAGCTTCCGAGAGGCTTGGTCTTTGAGGGAAAGTGGAGCTTCACTGCTGTTCATACGGAAGACTGAGGAATGGCTGAGTTTGGTGAGTGGCTGTAGCCGCAGGGAAGGTATCTGTGATGAGGAGATGCAGGAATAGAGGTGGGAGAAGAATCACTGCCTAGTTCCACTGAATACAGGATTCCTTTTTCAAGAGGGAAGGAAAAACGTTAATCACAGCCACGGGAAGGGTCACGTCTGCCTCAGCTCTTGGAAGGCTGCAGGAGGGACATGGACAAAGCACCAAATCTTTGGGAAACATCAGCTGAGGTTTCGGCATTGTGAGCCAATCAGTGGCATTGTGGTTGAGGCTCCTTGACAGCAGTGGTTTGTCAGCAGAGACAGAGCTCTCTTCTTTTTGCAAACTATAGTAATAAAGATTGTGCCTCTTGATCTGTGTGCCTTTGCTGTTACGGCTAGAACAGCCTGTAGCTCCATTTCCTTCCTGAGAAAAGGCTCTACCTGCTGTGGTGATTGATTGAAGCGCGCTGGAGGCAGAGGAAGATTTAACGCTGACTTGAGGGCTTCTCTTCATAAGTTTAACTAGACGGATAGCCTTAAAACAGGTTTCGGAGTTTAGATTTGCAGAGGGAGAACACCAAACAGGGAAACCCCTGCATTGTTGGGGTGGCAGCAGCGTTGTGACAGTATAAAAAAAATTGCTTTAATTAAAATGCTCTGAAGACAGGAAATCCATCTTTCCGAGCATAACCCAAACAAACAGCCTTTTGCTGCTATACGCAGCACTTAGCAGCGCAGGGGCAGTCGCTGCTGCAGAGGCACCCACTGCGCTGTGCAGGTGCTGCAGGGCTTCTCTCGGAAGTCCCTGGGGAGTGAACAAGTGTCTGCAGGTACTCTGACATCAGTACCTATGGGTCACATTCC